AAGCTGGGCTGTTCGTAGCTGCACAGTCGACCTGTGTCATGGAAAAGCACAATCGTTCGTAGTATTTGTGCAGAAGAGCACTTTGCAAACTTCACAAATATTAATAAATGGAAGAAGTTTGAAGCCATTAGTTGGCTTCACGACTACCAAACCTGCCAGTTTAGTAGTCGTGGTCATTGTAGGCTCTTATATAAAGACATGGACGCCCGTGAATTCGTGCATCACTTTGAAGTTTGGCCTGTTGTGCTCCACAGTGATGTGACTCATTCCTGCGTTACATTGAAAAGCTTTACTCAAGCTCGCCGGTGTTATTGTGTAACAGTGTGGTGCAGGCTGCTGTTCAGTTAATGTGGTTACTGTTAAACTTAAGTGTTGAGCAGCAGTAACGTCTGTAGGGAGACGTCTTTCTGGCTACTTTTGTTCTTGGGTCAAATTAGGAAACGTGATCGATGCCGGAGCTCATCAAAAGAAGCACCGATCATCATCTTATGCTAATCAGCACTAACAGAGAGGCTCGTGTTGGAGAGCGTGTCGGGCAGGCTGTAGGTTTTGTTGCCATCTCACAGCTGGATTAACTGAAAGCATCAACATTGATGAAAAGGCTCATTTAGGCAAAGCACTGGTTGCCTTTGTTTACCAAACACACTTTATTGTGTTGACTTCCCCACGTCTGCGCTGCAGTTACATAACTACACTCAACAGTTATTGTCAGTAACATCTGTGACCTTCACACCCAGGAATGACTTGTGTTTATGGCAGATATGGTGGACTTCACCGATGAGGAGGGGTACGGCCGATACCTCGACCTGCACGACTGCTACCTGAAGTACATCAACTTAAAGGGAGCTGAGGTTGTGACGCTGAAGTTTATTCTCATTAATAAAGAATAAGCCTCCGAGCCAGGATGTGTCTGACTGCTCTCTGTGTCCGTACAGAAGCTGGAGTACATCACTTACCTGTCTTCATTTGACCAGCTGTTCGACATTCCCAAGGACAGGAAAAACGCTGAATACAAAAAGTAAGTCCGTGCTGCTTATTCAGGACGTAGCTGTAAAGAGTCTGCTTCCTCAGTCACACGTCAGTGTTGCACGCAGACGTGGACGCGTTTAAATGCCTGGTGCTGTGCAGGTATCTGGAGATGCTGCTGGAGTACCTGCAGGACTACACCGACCGCGTCAAACCGCTGCTCGACCAGAACGACCTTTACGGCAAAGTGCTGTCAGAGTTTGAGAAGAAGTGGGAGAACGGGACCTTTCCAGGCTGGCCTGTAAGTCCTTCTGCTGGGACCAGTGAGAGGTGATGGTTGGGTTTGGGGAACTTCTCTGACTTTTGTGTTTATTTGTAGAAAGAGACGAGCAGCGCTTTGACACATGCAGGTGCTCATCTGGACCTCTCTGCTTTCTCCTCCTGGGAGGTAAAATCAATCCTCGCTGACACGTGGCTGAAATCAAAGTGTTTTGCATAAATAATGGCTCCATATTTGTTTTGTTCCCTCGTTGCTGTAGGAGTTGGCCTCTCTGGGTCTGGACAGGTTGAAGTCGGCACTCATGGCTTTGGGACTGAAATGTGGAGGGTAAGCTTCTAGAAACGTGACAGGAGCAGCGTAAGAACTCTGACAGACGTCCTCTCTTTCTACAGCATTGAAGGCTGATTGTTTTCATATTCCAAGCAGAATATTACTGGAAAACCAGCTCTGTGGGGACAGGGAACAATCTGAACTACAGATAACCTCCCGCCGTGCGTCCTTAGTATAGTGAGAGCCCTGTTTGAGACCACAAAGAGCGTCCGGTGTTCAGAAAACCCAAATGAAATATGCAGATCGATGTGGTGACCTCTGTGGACGAGGCAGCAGATGACAGAGAGCTGCAGACCCCACCTGTGGGTCAGTCGGACGTTTT